TACTTTTGAGAGAAGTAACTAGTAATGTAACTAAGTTACTATTTTAAAGTAACTTACCCAACACTGGTAACAACAGATTTAAAATAGACTTCCAGGGATCCTAAAACAACAGAGGAGGACTCACAGGGACCACTGGGTCCAAACACCAACACTTCTGTTTTCTTTTCATTAAAATTTAAAAAGTTTAGAGCCAACCAAGCTTTGATGTCATCTAGACATGTCAAGAGAGGTTTTATGGAGATGCCATCCTTGTATTTTAGTGGCAAATAAATTTGGCAGTCATTGGCATAACAATGAAATGAGATCCCATGCCTTCTAAGGATAGAACCCAGAGGCAATAGATACAGTGAAAAGAGCAGTGGCCCTAAAATTGAGCCCTGTGGGACGCCGCATGACAGAATACATGACAGAATGCATGACAGAATACAAACAGAAAACACTGAGTCCACAGACTTTTTTGGGATCCTGTGAACGTATCCTAGGGGTTTGAGAGTTTGTGAATCGGACTTTGATTCTGCATTTCCCAGTTTGGATTAAACAAAACGCAAATAAAATGTAATAGACTTTCCCATCAGGGCATGCAGCCTCCATCTCTCCCCATCCTGACTGTTACAAAAGCACCAGTTTAACTAAGCACTTTACTGTGGTTTAACACATTTTCAAACACACAGACACACACACGGGCCCATAAAACAGGTGAATTTTTTTACCATAAAGAGTAAACTTTGTTGGCTTAAAATGAGAAACTATGATTAGAAGATTCTTATTGATGATAAAAATCCATATTTTTCCTGATCACATTTTTTTGAATTATGAAAATTAACGAGTTATGAAATATCATAATTTTATGAATGAAATAATTTTTATGACTACCATTAACTTTTATTACTCCCTTTATTACTTCCTCTGTCACAAGTATTTTTATTGGGGGCCATAAATCACTCGTTTGACATGAGGGGTATAATATCCGTGCTGGTTACATTTTTCATATAATTTCAGTATTTTCATTAACAGAAACTATCAATATTTTTTAAATTAACATTTTGCTTTTGTGTTTCTCTTTAGGAGCCTGAAGGGGAAAAGAGAATGCACACATGTAAAGGAAGCTCTTAAAACATGTCCATCCATCCATCCATTTTCTTCCGCTTATCCGGGGCCGAGTCGTGGGGGCAGCAGCCCAAGCAGAGAAGCCCAGACCTCCCTCTCCCCAGTCACCTCCTCTAGCTTGTCCGGGGAAACACCAAGGCGTTCCCAGGCCAGCTGAGAGATATAATCTCTCCAGCGTGTCCTGGGTCTGCCCCGGGGCCTCCTCCCAGTGGGACATGCCTGGAACACCTCACCCAGGAGGCATCGTTGTCAGATGCCCAAACATCCTCAACTGGCTCCTTTCGATGTGGAGGAGCAGCGGCTAGAGAGGATAAAGACCTGGTCCAGTGTTCCGCAACCAGGACGAAAACCGCATTGTTCCTCCTGTATCTGAGGTTAGACTAGTGGACGACCTCCCGAATGGCCAAACTATCTCTAAGGGAGTTGCCAGCCACCCTTCGGAGGAAGCCCATTTCCGCCGCTTGTATCTGCGATCTTTTTCTTTTTCTTGTTCCTCCCCCATTTGGGGCAGGAACTCGTCCCCAACCCGGAGTGGGCACTCAACCTTTTTCCGGCTGAGGACCATGCCCTTAGATTTGGAGGTGCTGATCCTCATTCCCATCGCTTCACACTCGGCTGCGAACCATCCCAAGGTGAGCTGGAGGCCATCACCCGATCAAGCCAAAGGACCCACATCATCTGCAAAAAGCAGAGATGAGATCCTGAGACCACCCAAGTGAAAACCTTCCACCACTTGGCTAAGCCTAGAAATTCTGTCCTTAAAAATTATGAACAGAATCGATGACAAAGGGCAGCCCTGGCGGAGCCCATCACCCACCAGGAACGAGTCCAACTTATTGCCGACTATGCAGACCAAGCTCTGGCAATGGTTGCATAAGGACTGAATGGCCTGTAGCAATAGACCAGACACCCCATACTCCCGCAGCACCCCCCCACAGGACCCCCCGAGGGACGAATGCCTTCTCCAGGTCCACAAAACACATGTAGATTGGTTGGGCAAACTCCCATACACCCTCAAGTTTCCTTGAGAGAATAAAGAGCTGATCCAGTGTTCCATGACCAGGACGAAAACCGCATTGTTCCTCCTGTATCCGAGGTTCAACTAACGGAAGGACTCTCCTCTCCAGCACCCTGGAGATACCAAGATACCAACCCCAGCCCACCGCCTCTCACCAGGGGCAACTCCACACTGAGACAGAGTCCAGTCCCTTTCCAGGAGGCTGGTTCCAGAGCCTAAGCCGTGCGTTGAGGCGAGCCCCACTATATCTAGCCAGTATCTCTCAACCTCACACATTAACTTAGGCTCCTTCCCCACCAGAGAGGTGACATTCCATGTCCCAATTGCCAGTCTTGTTAGCCGGGAATCGGTCTGCAAGTAACTCCGCTCATGGTCGTCACCCAGCGGCCATTAACATGTGGTTATTCCAATTTGGGCTTTCATCAAGCCAGCAAAGATGCATAGAAAGGAAGATCAAACACCAACTAGGGGGGATCAAAGAGAAAAATGCAGCAACATTGTTCCTACTATGTAGCCGGTGTATCAGAAAAACTCAGAAGACTTCTCCAAGCATGACATCCCAGTTTACTTCAGGCCAAGCAACAAACTCAGACAAAAGCTGGTTCATCATAAACCAAACTTAACAAACTGTATGTTGTACAGTATAGCGAGGAATGCCCAGACCTCTACATTAGAGAGACCGAACAGCTACTTCATAAACGGATGGCAAAACATAGAAGAGCCACCTCAACGGGACAAGACTCGGCTGTTCATCTGCATCCTACGGACAATGGTCACTCTTTTGAGGATGCCAATGTTAACATTTCGGACGTTTAAACCCAGGAAGCGGCATGGTGGATTGTAATAACGCCTTGCCATCTTAAGAGCAATGTAGGGTCCTGTTGTGTGGTTGTTATTTGTTGTGAGTGTGTTCGGCTGGCAGCTGGGATGCTGCAGGGGAGGTGTATTGTAACAGCAACTGAATGGAATAAAAAGGAAATGTCAGCAAATGGAGGACTGTGGTTGTGTCATTCCTGCCACACTGTCCTTGTTGAATTTTCATTCAGCAGATTCAGAATGACACTAAATACTCTTTTGTGTGTGTGTTTACACATTGTTTCTCTTTTTTTTCTTTTTTTCTGTCTCTGTTTGTCTAAATCAGTCATTCTCAAACTGCAGTACACGTACCACTAGTTGTGCGTGTGCTACTTCTAGTGGTATGCTATAAATAACTAATATTATTCTTTAACATTCAGTAATGATTGAAAATATACATACATTAAAAATTAAATTAATACAATTTTACATTAATTGGTTCAGCAAGTGCAGCTGTTTTTGTGTGTGTCCACATTTGTAAGCATTTTTACTTAGAGGTGGAGCACTACTTGTCTGTGTCTTTTTGTGTCCATATTGCTAAACTTTGGTAGTTACACAATGTTTTACGTTAGTTTTGCACAGCCTTAGTTAATCTGCTGGCAGTTCTTTCTTGGCTGTCTAAATTTTCTGCCCATTTCTTGGCATTAAACAACAAGTACTTTTGAAGTAACTTCCTCCTGTTCTACTTATTTTAAAGGACTTTTTTGCTTTTTCAGTATTTCTGCTAATTTATCACAATTCTGCAAAGTTATTATGATTTCAGCTTCTTCCTCTGTTTTTAGCAGATGGTTTCCGCTATGCAGCATTTACATGGCATTTTCTCAGGAAATTGAACTTTTTCTAGTTATTACATTAAATTTCCTGTTTAAATACATTTCAAAAATGAGGCCTCACGGAAAGGGGACGTTCTGGAAAGAAAAATGGCAGAAGAGACCTGGGATTTAGAGCAGATGTAATAGAGGCTCTTGAGAATTCAAAACCCTTCACTGAATCTTAATTTAGGCTCCATACACAGAATTGTTAACCTTTGGTACTTGAGGAATGTAAAACAATAGGGTGTATAGGCATTCAGATCCACTAATTAAGGGACTGCATGCCAGCTTTGAAATAAAGCAAATCAATGCAATTTTCAGAAAGCAGAATCTTCCATTTGGGTCTACCAGTATTGTGAAAAGTATTCCTGAAAGGCTTCAGTCAACAGCATTGTGTTATGAAAGTTGATGAAAGTTCAAACATGTCTAAAATCAAATTAAAACCCAAAAGAGACACAGACAAAGAGACACCAAAGGGGAAACATGCCATGATTCTCTCATAGCAGGCTTCTGAATTATATCTGGTATCTTTATTTAATTTGAAATAAGCAACAGAGTTTCTGATTCCAGACGATTTGTAAACAGCTACCACTGTTTCTAAATATGCAGAAAGTAAAAGACATCTTATCAGTGACGGTGGCTGGTCTAGTGACGTGCCTTTTTGTTTTTCTTCCAAGCCACATTGTTCTTTCACTGCCAAGTTTCTTTTTTATTTCGTAGTTTTTTTCTCTGGAAACTGAATGATGTGTCCGATAACAATGAAGAAGTTATGTGAAGTCAACTGTTACTGTATATCCCCTAATTCTTTAGTGTAAATTGCATGTGAGAATCAGAGGTGTCTTTTTAAGCTTTTCTTTGTTATCATTAAATTCAGTTCAGTACTATTTTATTCATCACCAAATCACAAAAGATTGCCTCTAGGTGCAAAATATTTCTGACATATGTCAGTGCAAATAAAAAAAAAAGAAGCTAAAATTGTAAGAATATAGGATCTACAAACCCATGTAAAGATAGCTTTTAGGTCTTAACCCAAGTACTTCCTGAATTTATTACATGAGTCAATGTCACGGCCCAGCAGCACGAGGTAACTGAGATGGACACAAGTGCAGAAACCAAACCGGAAGCGAGATGGTAAGTGAACAAAAGGTTTATTTCCCCCCACAATTAAAGCTAAACTAAGAGTGACCTAGACAACTCTAGGATGCAGCTGAACAGCTGAGGCAGTGGGGAGGTGGAAACTGGACTATGAAGTGGCCGGGGTACTGTAATGACAGGAAAGCACAGTCAACGGGATCCAGCAGACAATCAGCGATCCTCCACAGTTAAACTGAGTTGCCTTACTTTGTTTCAGGTGGAGGGGACAGGTGGGGCGGAAGGCCCGGGGAGTTGTCGAGGCGTGGGGAGGCAGGCAAGTGAGTGGCGGGCCAGTTGGCAACGTCGTACCAGCAGCAGGTGGCCCAGGTCCAGGAAAGCGGGGTTGAGGGAGGCGAGACCCCCACTCCAGGAGCTACCTCTGAGGACAAGAAAAATAGGTAAGTCGTCACACGGGTTCTGGACAAAGCAATCACACTCCACTTGGCTAACATGGGATAGCAGATACTCAGGCGATGAACGGTTGAGTGCGCAGGTCTTATATGCTGCCGGAATAATTTGATTTGATTTTATATACCTTTATTAGTCCCACAAGGGGGAAACTGCCCACAGGTGGTCAGCCAGGGAGGGGCAACCGATCTCCGCCTAAAGGAGGAGGAGCCACAATTGGAGATCTGCAGGTACCCACCCAGACCATGACAGTCAAAGCCAAAAAAAGTCATAAAGTAAATCCCAAAGAGTTGATTCTGTTCATCCCGACGTTTTCAGTGGGAAAAACATTTCATTACTCTTTCAGGTGACTTCTTCAATCTCAGCTGACTGCAGGTTTCACCAATCTTATAAACAGTATATTTGCATAATTACTGAAACTAGCACCACTGAATGAATAATGGACTGTGAGGTCAGTTCCTTGATCATTAATATGCAAATTGTCATGACCATTGACCAATACCTACTGATCAAAGCCCATTGATCAATAGCCATGAGCACCATTCAGTGGGCTGGTTTCAGTTGTTTTGCAAATGTACTGTTTATAAGTTTGGGGAAACCTGTAGTCAGCTGAGACTGAAGTCACTTGGATGATGATGAAACATTACTCCCACTCAAAATGTTACTTCCAGAACAACACAATCACCGTTTTGGGATTTACTTGCCTGGATGATTGAGCATGCATCCAGTAACAAAGTCAAATTCTACTGAATTTTTAAACCCGGAAGCCATATCTGTGCCTGTTGCTGTTATCTCTGTAAAGCCAAACGTAACTTCCAATTTCACTCCACGATTTATGCCTCCTGAAGTGTCAGGCACGTTTCGACAGGACATGAAGCAACTTTTTCTACTCCCTCTTCGTCTATATACTCTGGATTTTTATTAGCTGTGCAACAAAACTTTGTCTACTGCTCTCTGATTTGCGTTTAATGGATAAACAACATGAGTTCTGGTTTCATTATATCGCACGTTTTCACCTTCCTCCACCACTTTACTGAATATATCAAAGCAGAAATCCTTTCCTTCAACTGTATCTTTCTTCTCTGTCTTGTGTTTAGACCCATCAAATATCTCAGCTGTACCAAACCCATAAGTAAAAGCACTTTTTCGAGAGACCACCACTGCTGGGGTTCTTCCAAACTGCACAGCTCCCTTCACGATCCCTTCTTGAGGCCTAAACTGACACAGAACTTTACACTGATCAGCAAATTGATGGATAACATGTTGACGTAGAATCTGGCTTTCAGCGTAGCCCCCCACTAACAGAATGTACTCGATGCTTAGATCTTTCTTCAGGATTTCTCTGAGACTGTCAGTGATTGTGGAATTGAAGAAATTATTTTACAGGTACAATATATCCTGCAGCATTAACATTGCATTAACAATATAATCTACAGCACTGATATTGCATTAAGATGGTTATTATACCTGCTGGCCTCATATTAACCTTTTATTACAGGTGCAGCCATAATAATTGTATACACACATTGCATTTTGTGCTTATTAAAGAAGTTGAACATCAGTCAATTAAGGAAAGGTCATAAGCCTCGTTCGGCGTGATGTCCGGACGATCTATTATGACGATCTCTGACTTGGAGCTATGGAAGGTTAAAACTGCATACACGCTTACAAAACACATATAGTACATATAACCTAGAAAGAGGTCTGAGCAAAGGCCTGAAATTATTCAGCAACCTGTGGCGTTTGAGTTTGCTTAGTGACAGGTGACAGAAGATGTGCCAAAATCTTCAGGGCCTGAATCCATCACCATATTTGGAAGGAGATGCTAGAAAGGGGAACTTCGGTGTCTGCATTTATCTCTTAAAATTGATCGTTGTCTGTAAAAGATGCAAATAATGTTCTTAAGATGCAAATAATGTTCTTGGAAAACGCGAGAAGGGGCGTCAAACCCTGACATTATAAAAGCAATTGCTTGTCTATTCTTGGGCGGAGATCTATGCTGATTGTGTGCAGTATTCATCTCCCCGTGCGTGTGTTTAATAAAATCATTGTTTGACTAAACTCTTCTGGACCATCGTTGTTTTGCTCTCCTCCTCAATATTGGTGAATTTCAGGACATGATGCCCTTCAGACTCTCAGTAAAAAAAGACCTCAGTCTCTCTTTAGAGATTTTGATTGATCCTTCATCCCAGGAAGCACCTCGTACTGTTTCAAAGAATTTTTTTTTTTATTTCCTGTCTTTTCTGAGCCAGTGTTCCCAGGTTATATGGGCACACCATCTGAACATCATCATCTACCTGTTTGAGAAACATAAAATCATTCATTATCCTCACTGGGAAAGTTTCTCTCATATTCATCCCAGACACCATGACTGAAGATTTCTCTTAGAAACTCTTTGAATTTCCTGTCCACAGTTTGTCCCCCCAAATTATTTCCTGAGGCCTTGTGTAGCTCATTCAGGGCTCCTCCATCCAGGACTTTATGAACAGTGACGTCAATGGTTCCACTTGAAACACACAGGAAGTGATGAAAGTGGACTTCCTGCAGCAGCAGACATAGTCAGATGTTTCCAATGGGTCTGTGGATGAATGTGTAACAGAATGTAACAGAGTCACATACAGTACCTTCACAGTCCACCACCATGAACTGTGTTCCTTGAGACAGTGATCCTCCATCATGGTTCTTAGTGATGAAGCCATCAGCTGGCAGCTTCTTACACCAGACTGAGGCTGCCTCTGGTTCCAGTGCGATGATCAGGTGGTGCTGAGTTCCTTCTGTAATGATTCCTGCCTGGAAATGAAATACAACTGAATACTGTGAACATTTCAGCATCTCAGAGCTCTCTTAATAAAATTATGTTACCTGAGCTGCAGCTTCTCTCATGAACTGCTTTGCTGAAGGATCCCAGATGGCAGGTACAGTCAGCACCCAGGTGAAGTCAGAGGGTATGAACTTCCTCCCTTCTGTGTTTCTGGCAATTGTTTTCTGTGCATTATCCTTCAGGTATCTCAGAACTTCTGTGAACACCTTCAAAGCCTTCATCGTCTTCCCATTTGCAGCTTCAATAGTCATATCTCTGCTGAGTTTGTAGAGATGATTGATAAGATGTTAGCTTGTATGCACAGTTTTCAATTTATTAGTTTCAGTAATCTTAAAAGTGTTGTTAATTTCTCACAGAGCAGAAAGACAATCTAATCTCCACAGACAGGCGTTTAAATCACTCCAACCTTCTTCAGTTTGTATGAACTTACTAACAGGGTCTGTAAAGATTGATCACTGAGAGCTGTACGGTTTCACTGCGAGGGGATTTCTGCTGCATCAACATACATTTTTTATTTTCATCTACCAAGTTTCAACTGTCAGTAAGTCTTAATAATTATAGCTGCATAAGTCTTGTTCATCTTATTTAAATGAGTATAATCTGTCCTTTTAAGTGTACCTGGAACATTTTATTTGTAGAAATTTTGACTGACTTTGTCATAGAGCCTCATCTTAAAGTTTTCAAAGAAGTAGTGTTTCTTTGTTTCTTCACTTCGCATCTTGATATAAACTGTTTTAGCTTCATATCCAAACCCGAGAAATTCTTCGTCTTCATTGAACAGAATGCAGGTTGGAGACTTTGGAGTGTCCAGTCCGAGCTCTTTACCCCATGTCTTCAAAAAGGGATCAACTTCTGCCCCTTTGGGTGCAAAACTGAATGCATATCCACTGTATGCAGTGCCAAAGTCTATGGCTATGATGAATTGCTCACTGTTTCCATTCATTGTATAAACATGTCCAGCAGGTTGAGTGAAGGAAAAAAATGAAGTGCCAACGAGCAGCAGTTACAGAGTATGTATTCTTTTGCTTTCTTTAAACCACACCTCTTTTTTTTTTATCTATAAATATTTGGACATAAAGGCTTCTCAGGAATGAGGCAGCACTAGCTGGATACAATAATACAAAGAACAAGAACGGCCGGGCAGCATTTGACACTGATTTTTTTGGCTTGTTTTCAATCCATATGAACGTTTATAATACATGAACTGTATAATCTTTACCCCTGTATTTATTTTTGATGATTTACAGTTGGTTTTAAACATCTGTTGCATCAAATCTAACAATTCTTTAGCAACATAATTAAGGTGTTTTACATTTAACCAGTATTTCTGTTTAATTGAACTTTAAATAATAGTAAAAATAATAGTACTAATAATAATGATAGTATATGTTTTGTTAGAATTGTGTTATGATACAAGTTTTGTTGTGAAAGTCCAAAGCCATGGACCAGATTAGTGGCCTTTGAAATGGTTACAGTCTAGGTTGGTGTCATGGTCCCTGTGCCCCGCTGGTCAGTCCTCTATTGGGCAATATGTTTGTGGTTTGTTTGCTCTCTCTCTCGCTCTCTCTCACTCTCTCTCTCTCGCCACGGCGATGCTCACTGCGGGCTCCCGCTGCTGGCCCACACACCTGCTCATCACCACACCGGCCGCTGATCCCAGCTGATTACTGCACTACTTAGATGGCGAGTCTGCACTAGTCTTCGCTGGATCGTTGAGCTATCAGTATCGTTTTTTGGAACCCGATGCTGAGAGGAGTGATTGGAGAGGAACATTTTGTACAGAGAGTGTGGAACACCCTTTCCCCAACCCTGTTTCCCCACGGACCCTGGCGACCCGGACCCGTTTCCCCCTGCACATTGTATATAGCCACTTGGTGCATGTGTTCACTGTAAATAAACGCACTGTTCCTTCGCTTTGCTTAAAGGAATACCCTGGCCTGCGCCTGAGTCTCTTTCGGAAACCCAAACAGAACGATCCAGCCAGCATGGACTCAGCAGGACAGGACCCCGTGGGCCGGGCTCTGGCCGCCCAGGAAGCCGTGCTGGCCCGCCATGAACAAATGCTCGGGCAGCTACGGCAGGACGTCGCCGCATTGACCCTGGCGGTGGCGCAGTTAATACCGCTGAATAGAAATGCTCAACCAGGGAGTCCCCAGCAACCCAGCACGGCTCCCCAGGCGGCACCGCCCGCCGCAGCGTCAGATAGCTCACCTCGGGCCTGTACGCCGTCTGGCGGACATCTACCCACACCGGAACCATTCTTGGGTGAGTCTGACAAATGTGCCGGATTTCTGGCTCAGGTGTCTCTAATGTTTCGCGAGCTGCAGCGTTTTCATAACAATGATGGGGCGAAGATCACTTTTTTTGTTCAACTTCTGAGGGGCCGTGCACTAAAGTGGGCCCAGGTGGTGTTAAGCTCTGATCCTGTCATCACCTACGCTGACTTTCTCTCAAAATTTAAGAGTGTGTTTAACCCAGGCACCGGGGCAGAGGCCGCTGCTCTCCGTCTCCTCAACTTCAAACAAGGTAGGAGGAGCATGTCTGATTACGCTATCGACTTCTGGATTTTGGCAGAAGAGGCAGGGTGGAATCAGGAGGCGCTACGGAGCACGTTGTTGAATAATATCAGAGAAGAATTAAGGGATGAGCTAATCATGAGTGATCTCCCTGCCTCCTTTAATGAGCTAATGTCCCTGTGCATCAAGGTGGATGAGCGGCTACGGGCTCACCGGTCGCAGCGGAACTACAACTCCCATGAGGCTGCGGGAGTCTCTGGCCATGGCGGACCCACGAGAGCGGGGACGGAGAGGAACCCATGCAGCTGGGCGGCTCCCATCTCACCGCGGCAGAGCGTCAGCGCAGGATTTCGGCCGGTGAGTGCCTCTATTGTGGTCACAGGACATGTTGTGGCTACCTGCCCTTCGCGGGCAAAAGGGCGCGCCCGCCAGTGATGGTAGGAGTACTGGTGGGCGAGCTGAGCCAGGAAGAAGCTCCTCCCCATTTAACACTACCAGCCACACTTTCCATTCACTCAAAGAGTCGCTCCCTATCGGTGTTGATCGACTCTGGGGCGGAACAAAACTTTATTGACTGTCAGTTAGCCCGGCAACTTGGGTTACTATTGGAGCCCCTGCCTCATGCATTACAGGTTACGGCGTTGTCAGGCCAACGCCTTCCAGACATCACTCTGGTGACGGAGCCTGTCGAGCTCACCCTCTCTGGCAACCATTCTGAAGAAATCTGTTTTTTTGTGTTTAGAGCAGCTCGCACTCCGCTGGTTCTCGGCCACCCTTGGCTACAACAGCACAACCCTCACATCGATTGGCTAAAGGGGCGTATCACTGGGTGGGGGGAGGACTGCCACATGACCTGCCTTAAAGCTGCCTCGCCTCCAAGCACTGAAACGCCCTCTCCTGGGGAATTGAAATCGGCTGATTTAACTAATGTGCCCTCTGTTTATCACGACCTAGCCGAGGTGTTTCAAAAGGCCCGCGCCCAGTCGCTTCCTCCACATAGGCCCTATGACTGTACTATCGACCTGCTCCCGGGAGCTCCTTTACCCACCAGTCGGCTCTATAGCATCTCGCTTCCAGAACGAGAAGCTATGGAGAAGTACATTACGGAATCCCTGGCTGCAGGCCTCATTCGGGGCTCCACTTCTCCAGTCGCGGCAGGCTTCTTCTTTGTCGAAAAGAAGGATAAAACCCTCCGGCCATGCATCGACTATCGCGGTTTAAACAACATCACAGTCAAAAATAAATACCCTCTGCCTCTCCTCACTTCGGCCTTCGAACTCCTCCAGGGGGCTACTGTTTTCACCAAACTGGATTTGCGAAACGCATACCATTTGGTTCGCATCCGTGAGGGCGATGAGTGGAAGACCGCCTTCAACACCCACCTCGGTCACTTCGAGTACCTTGTCATGCCCTTTGGTCTCACTAACGCCCCTGCGGTGTTCCAAGCCCTGGTGAATGACATGCTCAGAGACTTCATTAACCGTTTTGTTTTTGTCTATCTAGACGACATCCTGATCTTTTCCAGAGACCAGTCCGAGCACGAGACCCATGTCAGACAGGTCCTGCAACGACTCCTCGAGAACCAATTGTTTGTCAAAGGAGAAAAGTGTGAGTTCCACGTCTCCACCCTTGCATTCCTGGGGTACATAATCGACCAAGGAAACCTCCGCCCGGACCCTGTGAAGGTAAAAGCCGTTGTTGAGTGGCCGGAACCTCCTAATCGGTGCCAACTGCAACGTTTCCTTGGGTTTGCAAACTTCTACCGGCGGTTCATTCGGGACTTCAGCCGAGTTGCCTTGCCGTTGACCCAGCTAACCTCTCCCAAGCTTCCTTTTCAGTTGAACAAAGAGGCTCAGGCAGCTTTCCTAGAACTGAAGAAACGGTTCGCCTCAGCCCCCATCCTGATCCAACCCGACCTCACGCAGCCATTTGTGGTCGAGGTTGACGCCTCCGACTCAGGGGTTGGAGCGGTTTTGTCGCAACGGAAGGACGGTAAGCTCCATCCTTGTGCCTTCTTCTCCCGCCGTCTGACCCCTGTGGAGAGAAACTACGACGTCGGGGATCGGGAGCTGCTGGCGATAAAACTAGCCCTGGAGGAGTGGCGGCACTGGTTGGACGGCACGGCTCAGCCTTTCCTCGTCTGGACTGACCACAAGAACCTGGCATACCTGCAATCAGCTAAGAGGCTCAATGCCCGACAGGCCAGGTGGGCCCTGTTTTTCACCCGTTTCCACTTCTCCATCTCTTACAGACCCGGTTCCCTGAATGTCAAACCTGACGCCCTGTCCCGGCAGTTCTCAGCCTCGGAGGACCCTACTGAGCCTGCTCCCGTGCTCCCCGCCACCTGTGTCGTGGGCGCCATCTCCTGGGGGATTGAAGCAGCCATTCGGGAGGCTCAGGTGGCGGAACCGGATCCGGGCGGTGGGCCAGCCCAACGGCTCTACGTCCCTCAATCTGTACGTTCCCAAATACTTCAATGGGCCCACACTGCCCGCTTCACGTGCCACCCAGGGATCCACCGCACTATCACCTTCCTCCAGCGCTACTTCTGGTGGCCCTCTTTGACTAAAGATGCTCGAGAGTACGTCAGCGCCTGCGCAACCTGTGCCCGGAATAAACCGTCTCATCAGCCGCCCGCTCAATCCCCTGCCGACTCTGTCCAGCCGTGGTCCCACATAGCTTTGGACTTTGTGACCGGACTGCCGCCATCAGCAGGTAACACTGTCATACTTACCATCGTAGACCGTTTTTCTAAAGCTGCCCACTTCTTAGCTCTACCCAAGCTTCCCACGGCCATGGAGACCGCACGACTGCTTACCCTCCATGTGTTTCGCCTGCACGGGATCCCGGAGGACATAGTTTCTGACAGAGGCCCCCAGTTCACCTCTGGTGTCTGGAAGGAATTCTGACACCAGTGTGAGCGAGCTAACCAAGAGCTCGAGGCAATGTTGAGGTGCATAGCGTCCTCTAACCAGTCCATCTGGAGTGATGAACTACCCTGGATTGAGTACCCCCATAACAGTCTGACTTCCTCCGCCAGTGATCTGTCTCCCATCGAGGTCTCACTGGGTTTCCAGCCACCTCTCTTCCCCTCTGTCGAGGGTGAGCATTCTGTACCGTCTGTCCAGGCCCATCTACGTAGGTTCCGACGAGCCTGGCGGGCCGCACGGACGGCGTTGCTGCGCACGGACGGCGTTGCTGCGCACCAAGGACCGAACCAAACAGACCACAGATCGCCACCGCACACCAGCTCCAGCATACAGCGTGGGACAAAAGGTATGGCTGTCCACACGCTTTGTTCCTCTCAGGACTGAGTCCAAGAAGCTCAACCCAAACTTCATTGGTCCGTTTGAGGTTTCGGCGCTGATCAACCCCGTCTCTGTGAAACTCCTGCTGCCGAGCAACATGAGGATTCACAATGTGTTCC